GGTTGAAATTAATTCTATGAAGCAAGCCTTGACAAAACATGAGTTTCATCACCCAGAGCTGATCAATAGACCTGTTTTGGTTCTTTTGTCTGTTGGTGCGGCTGTAATTCTTCTCACAAGTTGGGCTGAGATTGAGTCTTCAAGCCTTTGCCCTCTATTGGAGTGGGGAAAGACTGGTTGTTAATTATGATAAAACCAAAGCAGTTGCTTTCTCCAAAAGACCTGTCACCTGTAATCTCTCCTGGAAAATCAGCAATTTTAGTACTGACTAGTGTGTTTAAATACTTGGGTGTTTCTTTTCAAGCATCTGGAAAGAACGACAAAGGGCCCACAAATTCTCAAAAGCTATCCCGTAATATGCCCAACTCAGTCACAGTGATTATGGCCCAGCTGCACCAAAAATATCTAAAGCAAAGACATCTGTTGTATGGTGTGCAGATTTGATATTTTTGTGATCTAAGTTCTATTGAAGCTACTCAGTCCAAATTCTTAAGAACCCTGTTGTGTGTTCCCCAACATGTATCTGATTTGCTGCTGAGATTGGAAACTGATCGAATTGCTGTAAAGCAGCAGCATCCACAGAGGGATGGGGGGCAGAATGATGAAAGCAGCATTATAGCACTGTGAAACAAGTCATGCCCCTTTTCTTTGTGCATCAAGATGCCACATGCATGTACAAAAGGGGCAGAGCTTACATCATGATGCTGCTGGTGAAAGCAGCAAGCTCCTGCAGATACCCATGCTGTAGAGATTCACATGAAACTTTGCTGCCTGAAATTTTGCTTCGGATTTGATTTCACTGGCAGCTCCCAAGACAACTTTATGTCATCATGGAAGGCAGATAGTGATCTAAATCTGAAATTCGATAGCTTATCAGCTCAACACTTGACCTTGCTTAACCTTGAGAGAGTTTTCTTACAGCTGAAGTAATAGGCCCATGACAAGAGTATTCAACATGACTTCAGTACAACCCCTGCCTGAACTGGATAAGCCTGTTTGGAAGATCTTTCTCCTATGCCAAGTATCTAGCTAATGTCTGATCAACTCACAAGAGAGTTCTTGCACTTGTTCAGTTTAATGCTTTGTCCTCTGTGTTGCTGGAAGGAAGATTTAACAACATTCCTGTGGAAGAGCAAATTTGCCTCTGCCTGTTGAAGGAAATATCAGTTTTTTGAGTGCTTTCGCACTGCCTTTTTATATGGCTTGGTGAACCTACCTGTTAATGCCTTTATTAAGCTATAAGTATAGTAGTTCAGAGGAGGAGAATACTCTCATTTTAGCTACCAGGTCATCTGAAATTTCAAGAAGGCCTGCTAAATTCTTTTCAGTTGTGATGTTTATTGTAGCATAATGTTTATTAGGACCAAGAGACCCAAATAGACTGTTTAATGCTGTGGTAACCAATAGATCTGTATTTTCAGTGCATTCCTTTCATACGTAATCTTTGTTGTTTTGTTTGTTTCTTGGTTTCCATAATTCAGTAAAACTACAGTAACTATGCCAAATAATAACAGAAAGTGCAGAAAGGCCCACATTAGTGGATATTGTATTTAGAGCTTTCAGACAGTTTCACAGAGAACACGGTTCTTGTAAGAAGCCAATGGCAAACCACTCTTCGTTGTTGCTAAGAAAAATTCATGGACATCTCCCATGTAGTCATTAGGAATCAACTCCTCTTGAGGAAGTCTTCACCTTTTTTACTGGATGAAAACAAATAGATGCTCATATACACATTACACAGAACTATATTCCTAACAAATACTGCATTCGTTTTAGCTTTCAATGAAGCAATGAATAAATTCAATTTCCTCAAACTGGTGACTCCCAGATTTGTGGGAGGAAAGAGCTGAGTATGTCCAGAATAACTGTGTTGAAACATCCATATCGTCTCTTAATTTCCACTGTTGTTTTGCTAAAATAGAATGTTGAATACAGACTCTGAAATACATTTATATCTATTTATTTTCCTTATCAAGACAACAAATGGTTTATGAGAGCCTTGATATCAGTTAAGAGTTGTTAAGCAAAGGACATCACTCTTAATCCCTTAGAGTGTAGGTGTTTCTAAGTCTGAGCAAGAACTCTGTGGTTTTCAGCATCATATAAAACACATGTAAAGATATATCCAATGTCCCAAGACACAATCTTTCCCATTCAGTCATTCAGTTTCAGGAAAAAGATTTGAGAAAGGAAGCAATGAAGTTTAATTTGATTTTTGAGCACCACCCTTCTCAGAGGTGGAATTTTTCAGGCTGATGTTCTAGGTCACTGAAAGCCTTATTGTAGAAAGAGTGCTTAATAAGACCTACTGAGTCCAGAGGCAAATCCTTCCAAGACTCAATCTGTTATGAAAAGTTACTCCCCTGACTGAAGAACCTAAAATACTCGCTGACTGAAAAGTATATATGGCTTATGGTGCCATTATTTGTACATTTACACAGACCTTTAAATAGATCTTACTTAGAAATGAACTTTACCACAGCTGTTTATATTTTAGCAAAACATTGTTTTATATGCATTGATTTTTAGCTGTAATTCTTAAGATACTGCCTAGTATTACTGTTTAGTTGGCACACGTTCCTTTAAATTGCATGGTAGGCCCTGTGAGGAAAATGTGTGTGTGTGTGTGGGGGGGGCGGGGTTGTACACATTTTAATTTGAGGCTGAATCAAAAATAATAATTGCTTTTTAAATTTTACTTTTAAAAATATCCTCCTTTAGCTATTTATATTTCTTTACCAAGAAAGCATTTTTCTCCCCATGAACTGACTTTGTTTGTCCTTGATTATCTCATTATATAGTCTGATGTTGACATCATCACAGCACTGCATAAGTAGTTAGCATTATAAGTGACCAGAAAGCGTTGCGCTCTCTTCCCTTGATTAGCTTTATTTGCTGTTAATGAATTACCACCTAGAGAAATCTAATGGATTTTTATTCCAGTTGTCACATGTTCCCTGATTGTCTGAGGTGATCCATGTAACTAATTTAAGAAAAAAAAAATAGAATTAAAAATATATACAAACATCAAGTAGGAAGAAGCAGTGAAAGTGAACAGGAATGGAAAAATAGTTGCACACTTTTCAAGAAATACTTTATTTCAATATTTTCTAATTTTTCACATTACTTTAAAAAAAGCATCCTGGGAGTTATAATCTCAGTAAGGATTTTGAGAATTCTTATATCACGAGAACTTTTATTAAATTAGATTTTCCAGAAGGAAATAGCTATGAGTCTATTATATAGATGCATGAATACCCTTATGGCCCAATAAACACTTTTTATACTTGCTCTGCCCTATTTCTTCTCTAGCTTTTATGAAACGAAGATCAGAGTACTTTTATTTACTTGAATATGTTAGCCGAACAGGGAAGGGAAGCAACAGCCATCCTATAGACTTTGTTCTCTTTGAAAACTATGGCCAGAGAATATCATTGAATATGGGTCTTAGCACAACATATTTTCAGTAAAAATACATTTTGAAATTTGTTGATGTCTTGTAATAGGGTAACTGTTCCCAGATGTGGAGTCTGCATTCAGCAGATATTTGAGATGGAAGCAACCTGTATTTAGTGCTTACTAGGCACTAATCTACTGCACATCCATTTAGATTGAGATTTATTCTTGTTTATTCAATATTCAGCTGGGCACCAAAGATCATTGACTTATAATATGTGAAGAATTTAGGTCAGAGGATTTTTCAGCATTATACCCTAAGAATATCCGTGTAAGTGGGATAATAACTGATGATGGGAATGCAATCCCTGATTAAGTGTGCTGAACAGAGTTTCTGTGGCTTTTTTATGAGTCTAATGCTAAATGCTTCAGAATGAACCCTGTATATACTGTTTTGGCAGTAAATCCTGCTGAATTTGGTTGGATTTTTTTTCTTCCAAATTATGTATCATATTGTACAGTAAGAGAGCATATTTGCCTTGATTTCTGCTTTTTAAAATCATATTTGTTGCACGATTCTACATATTAAACTTGGAAGTAATTTGAATAAACTTCAGTTAAGTCATTTGTGCACGTTACAGTTATTTGCATTCAGAAGCAGCAGTTTTTCAAAGAGAATTCTTATTGGGAGCTTGACTAACTGTTTTGGAAAGCTTACATATGACTTCTAATATTGCATTAGTTGTAATGAATGGTGGGCTTCATGTGTGTGTGTGTGTATGTGTTTGTACGCACAAAGTTACCTTTTTATTTTGTTAGTCACATGATTGGAATGGCAGATGAAATATTAGCCAGAGATAATCCACCCTGGTTATCTGTAACTGGGACCAACAAACACCTGTTTTCTTGAGCAGCTGGACAATAGCTTAGTTTATCCTGATCTCAGTTGAAACAAACAGTGTCCTCTTGCCCCCATGCTGATATAGCTGGAGCTTGATAGAGCCTGATTCCAGAGCCCTAAACTGAAACATTAACCCTAGATTCTTGAGTGTCCATACTGCTTTCACCCATCTACCTGTGAGTTACCATATTTCCTCTTTCAAATCATCCTATTCCAATGATAAAAGGAGAAAAAGAGATCTCTCATCTTCTTCTTTTTCTGATACATGGAACATGTCAGCAACTAACAATTTGTAGCTTTGGGAATATTCTCCTGGAGGTTCTGATGGCTAGGTACCCAGAGAGATGGAGGAGCTTGGGGTCTAATTTTTAATGTAATTTTTAATGCCCTCTTGAGCCAAAGAAATATAAAATTTACACTTCAACAAATTCATCTTAGCTCACAGACATCAATGGATGGATCCATTTCTCTTGTCTAACTGTTGGGTAAATCTGTTTCAAGACTGACTATGATTTATAGTCTCATGGCAGCATTCCATGGATTTTAAAAGTACATATTTTAAAATGATTTGCCACTGCATTTTTGTTGTAATTGCTTCCTCCATTCTTAAATTGATTTACCAGGGTGTTACTGAATTAGAAATTTTGTTTTTATAATGTGGCAGTGAACTAACTTGATGCATTTATTTTATATTCATTTCCAGAGAGCAGAACTGACCTCTGATAAAGACTTATATCTTGACAACAGCTCTATTGAAGAGGCATCAGGAGTCTACCCATTTGATGATGATGATTATATTTCTGGTTCAGGCTCTGGTAAGTCAATAGTCTATAAGAAAAAAGGCTTTTGAATTAGACAACAAGGTCCATGATAGAATAAATTTAGTCCTTGGCATTGCTCTGTGTGTGTGTGTGTGTGTGTGTGTTTTAATAATAGGCAATAGGAAAGACCTTTGTTCAAAGTTCAGTCATCTCACTTGCCACCCTCATTAAGGGCAGCCAGTTTTTGGAGAGCTAAATGAGCCACAGCTTTCTTTTGAGTCTAAAGTTAGCAGTGAACATCTCCTTAACCCTAATATTCCACTCAATCTTCTACCATTCTATAGTGTGGAATTGCAGATGGGAATCAAAAGACGGATTCCTGACTTTGTACCTGAAGGCTGCTCCAAACCTTGGTTGCACTAAAAAAACAGAGCAAACCAATGTGCTTCTACCTCTTCAAATCAGATTTGGAGACAGGAGACACAGATTCCTTCCTGGCCTTTCTGTATACCCAATAAATACTTCAGGAAATTATTCAGCCAGCCGACCTGCGTCTGCCTTTCCCTTCCTGCTGTTGGCTCTAGGGAGGAGTGAAGTATGAGTTGTCAGGGCAGATGGTAGTGGCTAGATAGACAAGTAATCTGTCTCAGTAACCTACAACTTCTGTGTTTCCTATATGTATCTTCGTGGCTGGTATTTATATCTTTCTAACGACTGCAGTGTTTGAGGCAATATTTGGTTAACATGTACATAATGTACCTAATTCATAGACTGTAGAAAATACAGCACAGTTGAATTGTGTATATATATGTATTTATTAATTAGAAGTACAGCCTACCACTTCTCTAGGAGCATAAAACAGCATACATGTATTCCCTCCTACATCTGTTTTCCCTCAACAATAGTTCTGTGAGGTAAATTGAACTCAGAGATAATGACTGGCTCAAAGTTACCTAAAAAGCTTCTGTGGGTAGGTTTGACTCCTAATCTGATATCATAAGCACTTGCACCCTAAAAGTGATGCTGTCTACATGAAACATGCAAATTTTTTAAAAAAGGAAGTCTGTTTTATAAGAATTATTTTGGTGGCACATTGGATGAAACTATATGGAGGCATGAAATGGATTTTGGCAAAGAAGCTGCATTCATGAGTTCAAATAATACCACTTCATAAATGTATCATGAGGAAGACCTTTGCAGCTAATGGAGCCATCCTGCTGCACATTTCTTTTCCAGCAATCCCCCAGCAATGGGAGAAAAATAATTTATACCAGTGCCAGTAGTACACTGAATTTCTTCTCCCCCTTTAGAGGCACGGAGAAGAATTGGGAGGATTTAGGAACCTTTGTCCTATACCCACAGTGTCCAGCCCCACCATATTTCCTTCTGTTTGAGTTTTTGAAAGTTTTCTCACATTAGAAAAAGGCAGCCATAGAAGACGGGTGGAGGCAGAAAGGAGAATCTAATGTTAGAGTCACTCTGTGGATCCAGTCTCAGTAAATCCAAAGAAGCTTAATGGGAGATTGTTGCCTAATTCAGATATTTCAGTTAGAATTTTTAGAATGAAAATATGATGGACTGAATTTTTGCCTGAGATAATTTGTGAGAGTAGGCATGCTGCCGGCTAAGTGTTAGGGTTATACACTGCTTCGGATTTGATTCTGGAAAGGTGCTCTGTACTTAAGTACAGATAATGTACTTACATTGTTCATTCAGATGACCCTGGATGCATACATTTGTGAGTCATATATTCACATTATTTTATTAAAAAAAACACACGTCCTTCTCTTTGGACCTCACTTCTGTGCGTATCTTGAAATGAATCAAAAGCCACAAAAGCTTATGTAATAATATATTTGTTAGTTTTTAAGACACCACAGTATTCTTGAAATTGGATTTACTGTGTCAGATCTGGGCTGCCAAAATCCAGACAACCACTGGATGGTAGCTACACATTTTCCCTATCTATCTGCTGTCATCTGTTTGCAGTCATGTGGGTTTTGCAGCCCAAATCTGATAGTCCAACCAAAACAAATATTGTCTTTGGAAACAATCCAACTGTATAAAAATAAATTCTTGTATATTGAAAGCTGTCATCTTGGAGAGAAGAATTCGAGTCTTCTAAGTAACTGGAAACAACAGTGTAACATCAAAAGACTGTCATGATAAGGAGAAGGGAAAGGAAAACAATACCGAGGTTCAAAATTCAAGGGGCTACGATAGGTTCAACCAATAAGATTTCTTTAAACCCGACTAATAGTCTGTTCATCTTTTAGTTTCCTTTACCACAAATAGATGTTGAGAGCCCCTCATTGGGCAGAGGCTGTTTTCAGAAACTGAAGTTCAAAGCTGCCTTATATAAAACCAAAAGTCCTTGAAGGTGGCCATTAGAGTTTATATTCTTTTGAAAATGGTAGAAAAGAAGGCAAGGCATTATGGTTTGGTTTTGAAGACTTGTTTCTGCTTTTATTATTTAAAAATGCATGCTCCACTTTTCTTTATAAAGCTGAAGGCAGATTACCACCATCACCACACGAATCCCATATAGCAAAGCTCTTTGTTGCAACGACATGGTACATCTTACTAAAATCATGCATGAAAATCAAGCACAACTCTAATAGCTCAGTGCAACAAGATGGAGTCAGTGCTTTAAGAAACACTAATAGCAAAAGAAAAATTACATTTTAAGCAGTTTTAAGAAAAAGAGCTTCACTTGTGACCTCCAGAGCTGATGAAAGAGGAAAGTGTTTTGTTTAATTCCAGTGGTTTTAACTCTGGCTTTCATGTAGCATTTTGTTTGCTGGTTTAAATCAGGTATGAGGAATCAGTACTTTTCCAGATGTTGCTAAACAACATTTTCTGTCATCAGTCATCTTTGGCCATATCCAGAGGCCCGCAGGTTCCCCACATCTGGTCTGTATAATGCTTAGATTGATCTTGCAAGGGCCTTTTTAGAAATTTGCCTGCAACACATGATCAAATGTACTGTGATCCAGAATTCTGTAAAATTAACATCTACCTAAAATTCTTCACAAACAAGGGCAGCCCCATTTATAATAACACAAATCCTTAAATTACTGCTATGTCTCATCTGCCTTTTCCCATCGCTGCCTTTCTGTGTCATCAGGTGGAATTCAGGCTTGGCTGTCAAGCTATTCATGGATAGAAATAATCAGCCTAAGAAGACAGCCTTTCAGTGCCAGGGCCCATTTGTTGGAATTTATTGCTTACAACAACTTACCAAGTTCACTTGCTTGTGACTTTCTTAAGATTATGAAACTTTTCTGTTAAGGAAACTAATATATCTAATTGTTTCCATTACATTCAGTTGTGGCTGGAGGATGTGGATTGAAATCTTTGTTCTGCCATGGATCTGAATTTATTTCTAGCTCTTCTCCTAAGTGACCTCCCAGGATTGTTCTGGGAAAAAATGCATCTCTGGATGTCTTGGATAGAAGAGCAAGATTTGACATTTAAATGTTTAAAATGATGATGTCTTTAAGGACTTTAATATAACTAGCCTTAAGGGGATACGCACGTTATAATAATAAAAAAGAACAAGACAAATGTATACAGATAAATTTCCATTTATTTTCTTCATACTCTCTAGGAGCTGAAGAAGAAGAGGAAGAAGAAAACACAATAATGATGACCACTAGAATGCTTCCAAAAATGCTGCCGACAAGTGATGCTCCTAGGACTGAGAGAACTACACTGAAAACAAAGACCAAGGTACCTACACAAACAAAGGTGTGTACAGGAAGCAGGGAAGGAGATGCTGAATGGTTGTTTTAAATACTGTAATAAGTTTTAGAGCTACCACTTGGTTATGCTTTAAGGAGATCTGCTAGATTTAGCGCAAAGCTGTGGATCAGTTGTAAAGATGGCTCTCTTTGATATTAAGAGGAGCATCAGGCTTTGCTCTTCTCCATTAAAAATACTGCATGCCTATTAGGGCTGTGCAAATCCTCATAGGAGTGCATATAGAGCACCTTTAAAAAAATTAAAACAGCAATATCTTTTTCCAGGTTCGTGTAGCTACAGTCATATGAAAAAGTAAATACACCCCATGTAAAGTTTTTTTCTCCTTTTTTTTTTTAATATGTGGACCTACTGATATTTTATCTTCATTCAAACAGTATGTAAAGATAAAGGTGATGTAATTGAGCAAAAAAAAAACCTATGAAAAGTTGACTTTGCAATTATTTATTCAACAAAAAATTAACAGATATGCCATTTCCTTCTGTGGGAAAAATAAGTATATCCTTGGCTCTAATACAGTACCTGGTATTGCCCTCTTTGGCAGAAACAACTGCAATTAGGCAGTTCTTATACTATAACTGTCTACCAGTCTCTGACATCAAGTGGGAGGAATTTTTTCCCATTTTGCCATACAGAATTTTTTCAGCTGTGTGATGTTTGAGGGGTTTCTTGCATGCACAGCCTCTGTCAAATCACCATGCAGCATCTCGATGGGATTTAGATGCGAGCTTTGACTTGACCATTCCAGAAACTGTTTTTTCCCCTCAGCCATTCCTTGGTGGATTTACTGGAATGTTTAGGGTCATTGTCATATTGCAAGATCCACTTCCAGCTGAGCTTCAACCTTCTGAGAGAGGATTCCTCAAGCACCCTCTGGTACAATGAAGAATTCATAGTGACAAAGCAGCCCCAAACCATAACATTGCCACTACCATGCTTTACAGTTGGTATCAGGTTCTTCTGGTGAAATGCTGTCTTTGGTTTTTGCCAAACATGTCTTCTGGTACTGTGGCCAAATAACTCTATTTTTGCTTTGTCCAGAGCACATTGTTCCATAAGTCCTGGTCTTTGCCTAGGTGTTTCATGAGCAAACTTTGGTCTTGCCCTGATCTTCTTTTTGGACAGCAACAGTTTCCTCCTGGCACATCTGCCATATAGATATAATTTGTACAGCTTCTTTCTAATGGTAGACTCATGCACTTTGACATCAGTAGCGGTGAGAGCTATCCGTAGGTCATGCAATGAACGTCTGGGGTTGTTAGAGACTTCTTTCAGTATCTTGCATTCTGCTCTTGGACTGAACTTTCTGGGACAGCCTGGCCTGGACAAGTTAGCAGTTGTTTGAAATCTTCTCCACTTAAAAATGATTTTCTGAACAGTAGAATGCTTTATGTCCAGTTGTTTGGCAATCTTTTTAAATCCACAGATTCATAGGCATCTATAACCTTCTTTCTGAAGGGTTCAGAGAGCTCTTTTGATTTAGGCATGGTGATGCTATACACTTCAACAAAAAGAGCAAATCAAAATAAATGTCTGACTTTTAAATTACACAGGTTCCTCCCATATTCTCTCTCATGATGTTCTAATCATTTCCACCTGATCCTAACTTTAGGTATTTGAGATAGTGATAAATATAGGGGTGTACTTACTTTTTCCACATGTGAAATTTGCATTTAACAATGGACTACAAAATGTAAATGATGCATGATCTTTGTTATTTATAACCTCTTTATCTGTCAGTATTGTTGAAATGAACATCAAATATTTGTATGCTGAAATATATTGAAAAAGCCAAAAATTTCTATGGGGTGTACTTACTTTTTCACATGACTGTATTTCAGAAGCTGCTTTGTGTGTGTGCACAACCACTTTTTTTTTTTTTTTTTTACCCTAGTGAAGAGGAATGCCTTTGCATGCACACAGGGGGGGGAAACAGCTGGGAGCAGCTCCTGACGCAGCCACACAAGCCTGGAAAAAGATGTGCTGCTATAA